CTAAATGTATTCTGGCCAGTTAGCTAAAGGGTGACCCCAACCAGCACTGTGGCTCCCAGTTCTTGGGGCCCTGTTGGCTTATGCTGGCTCAAGGCTACTGCACAGGCTAAGAAGCCATACAACACGCAGGAACCTGAGAAACAGACCCCAGAAGATCTGTTTGAAACTGAGTGACCACTGGTGTTTCCTGAAGGGAAGGAGGACATGCCTCACTGGCTCTGTCCTTCCATGTCTTTGACTTCTGCAAGGTGTACTCAGGAACCACATCTGTAGCCAAGCCTGGTGGCACATGCCTGTAATTCCAGCCCAGCAGTGGGGGTAGGAGTGCTGTAGCAGGAGGATCATTGGGAGTTTGAGACCAGCCTGGGCTACAAAGTGAGCTCAAGACCAGCCTGAACTGCATAGAGAGACCCTGTCTCAAAAAGAGAAGACAGAGAGAGAGAGAGAGAGAGAGAGAGAGAGAGAGAGAGAGAGAGACAGACAGACAGACAGAGACAGACAGAGAGAGAGAGAGAGAGCAAGCACAAGTGAGCCACATTTGCCACATTTGCTTGCTGGGACTCTCACAGGTGTCCTCCACAATTGGATCTATCCCAATTTACTTCTATACAAACAAGAGCTGGAACAGGGGCCGCCTGCAACCCACACGCACCACATTCACTAAGTCTGAATGCTACCATTAGGCTGAGGCACAGGCAAGAAAAACACAGGACCCATCAGCTTTCTGAACAACATGCCATCTGTCCGCAAGCAAGCATCTGAGAAGCTTCGTAGTTACTCGTCCTTTAGCCCCATTGAGGGAATGGTCAAGGGATGGTTAACAGTCATGGTACAGGTAACAGACACAGGGCTGGATATGTGCCAGGGTTAAAGCCATGCTCAGGAGCAGCTCTCCTTAAACCCAGAGCACGGAGTGGAAGGAGTTCACAGGCTTCTGATGCTTTGTGGGCGATGGGAGCAGACATCAGGCTGAACTTATTGTTCCGATAAACTTTAATAGTCTATTTTCCTAGAATTCATTCCCCCGTCCAGAATTCTGGGTGGGCCTCCCCAGGAGCCAGGGGATACTCCTTGTGATAGCAGGGTCTCCTTCCTGTTGGATTTTAGGGACCATCAGCTTATTACTGGGTGTTACACATTTTCCCTGCTCCCTAGAGTTCCAAATTCTGCCTGAAATTTCTCCTTCATTCACCCAAGTGGTTAGCCTTAAAATGTAAACACACACATAGGAACTGGCAAAGGAAATTAATCAAATGTGAAAGACGCAGAAAAGAAGCAAGAGACACTTTGTTCTAGGTTCTGAGTCTAAATCCAGCAGGAGGTGTGAAGGACTGGCAGCTGAGTGGTAGCACCCTGAGGCGCGAGGCCAGCAGCGGCTGTACGCATGAGGCCAGAGCGGGTGGGGAGCCACACTATCACTTCAGGACAAAAGCAGAGAACAGGAGCAGGTGGGTGCTTCCAAAGCAGCAGCCAGGCCTCATGGGGAGGATAACCCCAAATCCTCACCCTGGGCTCACTGTATCTTTTGCCCTGCAATGCTTCAGCTCCACATGGGCACCTGCATTTAACTGCCTCCTCAAAGGAGTTTGTTGAAACCAAAATGCGGGGCTGGAGAGATGGCTCAGTGGTCTAAAGCACCTACTTGGAACAAGCTTAGCAAAAGCATCAGGGACCGCGGTTCGATCCCCCAGCACCACATGCCAGCCAGCCCCGCCCCCTGGTGGGCTGAGCTGGCCACACACACCTCTCTCTCTCTCTCTCTCTCTCTCAAATAAATAAATAAATAAAGAAACCAAAATGGTCATTTTTGCCAATCTTCCCCCTTTTCCTCTTAATTTCAAAATCTCAATTAGTGCGCGGTTCCTCTGGGCTCCTCCAGTCTGTTAGGGTCTTATTTCCTTACTGCCACAGCTCTTTCTTCCCATCTTCACTGTCACTGTCCACACTGAGATACACTAACTAGGGTTCAAATAAGTGTACCCCAAAGGCTGATGTGCTAAAGCCTACCCCCCAGCCTGGAACTAGTGGGAGGCAGTGGAAACTCAAAGGGTGTGACCTCATCATGCGACCCAGCTGTCTTTTTCTCTCTCTCTTTTCACACTACTATTATGAGATGAGTGGGTTTCTGCTGCTGCTCTTGTCTGCAGTACTAGAGTTTGAACCCAGGGCCTTCACACCAAGCCACCTTCCCCAGCCCTTTTTACCAATTTTTTTAATCTTGAGACAGAAACTCACTAAATTGCCCAAACTGGACTTCAACTTGCAATCTTCCTGCCTTGGCCTCTCCCAGACTTCTGGAATTACAGGCAAGTGTCAGTCACCATGCCTGGCTTGGTGAGTGGATCCTGCCCCAATATGTGCTTTTGTCATGAAGTGCTGCCTTGCCACAGGACCAAAGGCAACAGGGCCAACCAGTCACGGAATGAAACTCCAAACCATCAGCCAAAATAACCTTTTCCTAACTTGATCATCTCAGGTGCTCATTGTAGTAATAGAAAGCTCCTAACAGAAGGCGCTTGTCTCCTTTCACTGCAGCAGGCCTCTGGCAAGTTTCTCTTATTCCTGAAATGAAATCCATCTTGCCTCTTTCCCACTATCACCAGGGATCTTTCCAGCGCTGCCTGGATCCCAAAGCAACCCTGCTTAAAAACTTTCAAAGGCTTCCTCTGCCAGGAACAAAAGTTTGGCTCAAGCTGCTTGCTCAGCTTTATTTCTCTCTCTAACTCCAAGCGTTTCCTCTGGTCCGAACATACGGATCTATTAAACTCGCACAAACTGCAGATCACAATCATTCTCACACCAGAACTATCCACCAACACTGGGACATCTGCCTCCTCTCCTGCAAGTGGGACAAAGAGGGCAAAGGAAACACACAATGGCACCTAAGTACCAAGCAGAGAACCAGATCTTTGCTGAAGGTCAAACATGCATCTACCAATTCATAAGGCAAGTCCTGCCCCACCACTCCAATCCCCAAAACTAGGCTGGAAGCATTGCAAATAGCACGCTGTTTTCCAAACGTAACCTCCCAGCACTCCCTCTCCCTGTTGCAGAAGTAAAGAAACAAAATCAGCTCTCAAAAGAGCCTATGCTGTGAGTCACCCCCCAAGGACGGCAGAGATTATACTTCGGTGGTGGCCATGGACCTTTTATAGTAGAGGGAGAAAGGGAACCAGCGGGTGGTTAGCTCAAGCCCTTCCCCCATCTCCTCAGTTCCCTATTGCAATCCCTTTGCATGTAAGGTAGAAAATTTCCAAGGCATTCAACACATACTGCCCAATTCCTATAAGGTATCAGCCCAGCTCTGGTGCAGTGTAAGGAGGGAGGGAGGGGTTCTCTCAGGGGAGTCCACCGCCTGCCTACTTCGGCTACCTGGAGAGCAGAGTTGTTCAGCTCGGGATGCAGTAAGCCACACCTCCACACCACGTCACCACCTCAGGAGCCCAGAGCAAGGGAAGCCCACGCAAGCAGGGAGACTGAGACTGATTTCAGGGAGGGTTGGAAGGAAGGGAGGAGGATTTAACTGCTCACATACCTGATCAAACAGGACTTTCCAGTGCTGGTAGAGAGGGAGGCCATGCATGAGAGGAGGAAGAGAAGAGAAAGACACTTATCACCAAGGTCTCTGTGGCCCCCTGATGTTTCTGACCTAGCCTCCCAGCTGCTACCCAGGTCAGAACAGGCTTAGGGACAGGCCACAAGAGTCCAGAGAAAACCTGGAAAGAGCTTCCCAAATGGCAGAGAGGAAACTCCCAGAGCAGGTGAGGGGTAGGATGGGGGATCAACAAGGCAAGTGTCCCCGGTCTGGGGGTTAGGTGAAGGGATGAGCCCCAGCAATTACCAAATAAAGGCGCCCAACTCTGCCCAGGGGCCTTGGCTAACTTTTGCTGTTTACCCTTACATCCACATCTACTCTCTCGAATGCATGCCCAAGGGCAAGTCCCTCGGCTCCTACTGGGGCCACGGACCCCACACTCAGAAGAACTGTAAGCCCTGACATTTTGATTACAGGCTTGGTGGGTGGGGGAGTTGGTGAGGGGGTTTCCTGATATGCTGAATTCCACCCATTCTCTTCCAAAGCTGAGTTTCTATGTTGAGTTCATAAGACTTCTCTACCCGAGATTTAGGGCCAGAAGGAAGTGATAGAATTAAGCACCCAGAAGCCAGGAGATGGTAAACTCCCCAGCTTTCCTTATTTAGGTTGTGGAGTCGTCTGGTTTCAGGTCCGTCTCTCCACCCTGAGGGCCAGATGGAGCGTCTGCCCAGTTTTTCACCCCTCGTTGCAGGTTAACCCCCGGAGAAGCTTAAGCAACTCCAGTTCCTACGGGTGGCCAGTATGGGATCCAGTCGGTTCCCGTGAACGGCGGGAAGGAGAGGAGCTCCAGAGGGCAGGAAAACCCTCTAGGACAGCCCTTCCCTGGCCTCGGTCGCCCGGGGTACCCTAGGGCTCCGGAGTCCCCTTCGGGGGGCCAAACCGCTCCCCGCACTCCTCCCCTCCCAGTCCGGGCTGGATTCAGGGATGGAGGCCAGTTTGAATTGCAGTCCGTGTTGTGACCCGGCAGGTGCTGGAACGGAGCTGATCTGGGAACTGGAAAGAGGGTCGCCAGACCGGTCTGCGTGCCTGGGGACTGAGGACTCTGCGGCGCTCGCTCCCACCCTGGGCCGACGGAGCCCGCAGGTCGCGGAGGGGAGGGGAGGGAGTCACTGCTGTGACGCGGCCGCCTCTGCAGGCGAGCGCCGTGTCCCGGGCACTGCACCAGCGCGGGGAGGGGGCTCTGGTCCTGGCGCAGCGCTGGTCCCGCAGGGACGCCGGGTGGCGCGCGCGCGATCTGGGGAGACCGGTCCTCGCCCCTCCCGCTCGCGGGACCCGGCCAATCCCGGGCGCTCCCGCATCACCTTGAAACCTCCAAGCAGCCCCGCAGGGGTGAGACAGGGGCAGCTGTCCTCCCCCGCTCGGGCGCCCCCCAGAAAGTTTGCCGGTGCGGGGAGGGGGCACTCACGTCCTCCGGCGCCGCGGGCGGCCGCCCCTCGGCCTCGGGCTCCAGCTCCTCGATGCGCTCCGCCTCGGCGCAGGCGGCCACTGCGGGGCCGGGGCTAGGGTGCTCGCCCATGGCCGAGGCGGGGTCCACGGCCAGCCGGGGCGCCGGGCTAACTTCGCGCCACGCGGCTCTTTGGGGGGCTCCGTGCGCACCGCACCCACACCGCGCCCGCCCCCATGGCCCCGGTTCCTGCCGCCCCGCGACCCCGGGACGCCCGGCCTCGCCGCTGCTAAACTTCTCCGAGCTCGCCGCCCCGCCGGCCTCTGCCTCCTTCGCGGCTCCCGCGCCAGGCTCCTCCGCTGCGGCGAGGGCGCCCTTGGGCCGGCCCGGGCCCGGCTGATCCCCGCGCTCCTTGCCCGTTGCGCTCGGCCCCCGCTCTGCGCC